CGCTTAACTGACTGAGCCATCTAGGCGTCCCAGTACTTAAAACTGTTTGACAAGAGGGGCGCCTGGGTGGCTCAGTTGTTAAGCGACTGCCTTCGGCTCAGGTTATGATCTCAGGGCCCTGGGATCGAGCCCCACATCGGGCTCCCTGCTCTGCGGGAAGCCTCCTTCTCCCTCCCCCACTCCCCCTGCTTGTGTTCCCTCTCTCGCTGTCTCTCTCTCTCTCTCTGTCAAATAAATAAATAAAATCTTTAAAAAACAAAAAACAAAAAAAAATGATAAGAAATCCTTTGTTACCTGAGATAAGGCAGGCAGCCCAGGTTAACCAAAAAATTTTTCTTGGCCTTAGCTGGAATTATATTCAGTCCCTGTGAGCTCAGTGTCTATTTTGTGTTAATCAGAAGTGCTGCTTAATAGATATACATTTTTATATATAAAATATTAGCTATTAGTAAGTAGATTTTGGTAGACAAAATCTTTTTTTTTTTTAAGATTTTATTCATTTATTTATTGGAGAGAGAGATTATGGGGAGGAACAGAAGGAGAGAGGCAAGCAGACTGCGCAGAGCCTGATGTGGGGCTTGACCCCACAACCCTGAGACCATGACCTGAGCCAAAACCAAGAGTCAGTCACTCAACCGACTGAGCCACCCAGGCGCCTCCGACAAAATCTTTTATTTTATTTATTTATTTATTTTTTTAAAGATTTTATTTATTTGACAGAGACACAGCACGAGAGGGAACATAAGCAGGGGGAGTGGGAAAGGGAGAAGCAGGCTTCCTGCCGAGCAGGGAGCCCGATGCGGGGCTCGATCCCAGGACTCTGGGATCATGACCTGAGCCGAAGGCAGACGCTTAACTACTGAGCCACCCAGGCGCCCCCTAAAATCTTTTAAAACTGAGGTCCATGGAGAAGTGCCCAAAAGGCCACTGTGACTAGGGCAGAGAGGGAAATAGCAGAAGGGTCGGGGGGTTGTGTGACCTGAGCCGAGTTCTGTGCTCTGCTAATGGCTGTTTCCTTCTCTGTCCCAGCTGGGGATAATGGTGCACACCTCACCTTGCAGCGTGTCAGTGTGGATGAAATTCGATACGCTGAAAGGAAGCAGCACTTGAGACCATGTACAAGTGAGGGCAGGGTGGTGGCTGGGGAGCCTGACTGCTGGAGCCACAGTGACTAATGAAGGAGCGTTGAAGGCAGCAGCTGACTGAATAGATTTTTCGAATTGGCTCTGATTTTCTCGTTGTCCCAAGCTGCCACTGGCGGGAAAGTGGGAAGAACAGTAGCCTTTTGATCTTTGGAACTTTTAATATCAACCCTCTGACATTGGTCACCTTGTTCATTGGCAACTGACCAGTGCGCAGTGAGCTTCTACTGTCTCCTGGGCTCACACTGTGCCTATTCCAACCCAGAGGTCCTTGGCCAGACAGAAGGAGAAGCGGAATTGGGTGCAGGGATGCTGGGTGACTTGGAGGAGGAAGGCCCTGGTGATGTCCACCCAGGTGAGTGGATCCAGAATATTCCATCCCTCTCTCTACTCCTTGCAGCCTACAATGAGCTTTCCCACTGCTAAACTGCCAAACACTGATTATCAGCAACCTCATCTGGTATTATTTATTTTAGATTTCTCTATGATTTTCATTAGTTCACCTGACATATATGTGTCTTCATTTATTACCACTGTGGAGTCCTTAAGTATTGTGACATATCCTACTTCATGTCTATGCTACTGTACAGAGTAGAATAGCTCAAGTGAAAACTTGCTGGAGATTGAGGATAGGGTTGGTCACATCTTAGGAATGAAGTTGTCTGGGTGAGAGGCAGGCAGAGTATTTATAAGCCAGGTATTGGGGGAATGTGCAGGAAGACTGGGGCTGGATATATGAATTTTTTTTTTTTTTTTAGATTGTATTTATTTGCGAGAGAGCGAATGAGAGACCATGAGAGGGAAGAGGGTCAGAGGGAGAAGCAGACTCCCTGCCGAGCAGGGAGCCCGATGTGGGACTCGATCCTGGGACTCCAGGATCATGACCTGAGCCGAAGGCAGTCGCTTAACCAACTGAGCCACCCAGGCGCCCTGGATATGTGAATTTTTAAGCTTTAGGCTTAAGGGTGGTTGGGTTTTTTTTTAATTGTTCACATTTATTATTTTAAACTCTTCAGTATAGTTATAGTATAATTTGCCATTTGTTTTTAAAGATTTTTTTATTTATTCATCCAAGACAAAGAGATACAGAGAGAGAGCATGAGCAGGGGGAGCAGCAGAGGGAGGGGGAGAAACAGGCTCCCCACTGAGCAGGGAGCCTGATGTGGGGCTCGATCCCAGGACCCTGGGATCATGACCTGAGCAGAAGGCAGATGCCCAACCATCCGAGCTACCCAGGCGCCCCAATTTGCCATTTTGTACAGGAATTGAATACAAATTTATGGACAAGCTTAGAGAACTATCATTTATAACATTGTTCTAGAAAAATAATCTATTCAGATTTCTCTACCTGAATATGTGTTTAGCTTTTCAGGTCTTAGAACCCAGACTCCTCCTCCAGGGTGTCCTAATGCCCTTATCCTGGGGTGCTTTGATTTGAGTTCTTCTGAAATTCACAGATGTTTGTTTAGCTCTGAAGAAACCAAAAGTGCTAGAATGTGATCTTTTTTGGTCTTCTCTTTCTCGGCAGCCGAAGGGGTTATGATCAAGCAGGAGATCCAGTACGCTCAGGAAGGCTCTGCAGATCTTCCTGGAGAGTTCTCAGGCATTGCTGAAGAGCAGGCTTTCCTGAGCCCAGAGCATACTGAACTCTGGGATGGTCAGGGTGGTTCTGTCCTCTTGGATTCAGGCCCCGGGGACACTAATCTGGAGGATCCCATGGAGGGCAGTAGAGACCCTAGCAGCGGCAGAATTCTGAGCTGCCCCCCAAAGCAGAAACCTAGTAGGCAGGTGCAGCTGGGTCAGGAATGTGGGCAGGGCCTAAAGCTGAAAAGGGACACTTCTGGCCCATATGGATGTTCCGAGTGCGAGATCAGCTTCCACTATAAGCAGCAGCTAGCTACGCATCTGCAGACCCACTCAGGGTGGGGGACTTACACAGCCTCGGAGCCAGAGGAGAGCCTTAGACCCAGGCCACAACTTAAGCCCCAGTCCAAGAGGGCAAAGATGCATCAGTGTGATGTGTGCATGAGGAGCTTCAGCTGCAGGGTGAGCCTGGTAACCCACCAGCGCTGCCACTTGCAGGAGGGGACCAGTGCTGGCCACTGTGTCCAGGAGAGGTTCTCGCCCAACAGCCTGGTTGCTCTGCCTGGCCACATCCCTTGGAGGAAAAGCCGGAGTTCCCTCATCTGTGGTTACTGTGGCAAGAGCTTCAGCCATCCATCTGATCTGGTGCGGCACCAGCGCATCCACACGGGTGAACGGCCCTACAGCTGCTCAGAGTGTGAGAAGAGCTTTGTCCAGAAGCAGCACCTTCTGCAGCACCAGAAGATCCATCAACGGGAGCGGGGCCTGGCCCTGGAGCCTGGAAGGCCCAATGGCCTGCTTTAAGGGTGCCAGCCCCTTGTCCGTCTTGGTGGGGGGCAGAAGGGGCTGGCATTGGTCCCCCCGAAGAGACACTGTGCAGAGTCAGGGACTGACTTCTTCCTGAGGAGAGTCACTTTGATTTGCCTTCCCTTGGCCAAGCACCAGGCCAAGCCCAGAGGCTGTGAAAACTATGGAAGAGGAGGAGTCCGGGGCCACTCCTCTCCCTGCTGTCTCTACCCTGCTGTGGAGCTTGTTGTTTCTGGCACCTTCAAGTCTCTGGTTTTCCCATCAGGGCTGATATTCATGGGCTGGGGTTGGCTCTCTGACCCTGCAGGGACTGGTGGCTGGTTCCAGGTCCTGTCCCAGCATTTCAGGTCTTCCCATGAGGTTGGGTCGGGCCAGGGGAGCGAGCAGGTATGTGGAAGAGTTCTGGGACTCCTAACCTGGTCTTTCCTCTTCTTTTGTAGTCTCTTTGTTAAAAACAAGTCGAAGAAATAATTTAAATGACTGCTTACCCTGTTCTGAGGAAACTTTTTTGGAATTAGATTTTAGTTGACTTAAAAAATTACAGTCTGACACTTGTTTTTTTTAAATTTCCAGCATTGTAGAAGTTGTTCCTAACGTGGGGACTGGGCCTACCCTCTACGAGGGATTTGTTTATGGGGCTCTTTTAGCCCATCCACACTTAGTTAGATCAGAGATCGGGGGCAGATTGCTGAGCTCCTCCTTGTGGGGGTCCTTGCTCACATGGGGCTAACTGAGTCCAGAGGAGCAAGAGGAAGGGAGTGGGAAGACCTCAAAACCCCTGCTGAGAACGAAGAATGCTGTGTCGGAGCCGAGAGCGTGTTGCTGCTGCTTGGGAATCCAGGTTTCTCACCATAATCCTCTTCCTCTTCCAACGTGGTCCTCGCTGGGTTCTGCCGCCGCCCAGGGTAGAAGACTGCTGTGTTACTTATGGTTGTCTGACTTGTTCCAGTGGGTATTGGAGTTTGTTCTTATTACACCAGTTGTTTCTTGAGATTGTGTAGATTACACATTTTTCAAATTAGTTCTGGAATTGACTGTTCCAGAGGGGATGGAGAAAAAGCACAAAAATGCTTTGTTTCTCAGGAGTGTTGAATGCCTGCCCCACTGTTGTTTGGGGAGATGGGAGTGGGCTCCTGGGTCCTATGTGAATGTCCCCTTTGATGATTTACAGTTGCTTAGAATAAAACTTGGCTACTAGCAAAAAAAAAAAGCTCATGTTGGGTATTTTTCTCCCTTTTTCAAGAATACCAAGGTGGAGGAGGTGGCTGATGGGGAGCAGTAACAGAAGCCTGAAGTCCCAGCCTGAGCTGCATTTTTACTTAAATTTAGGACAGACGAGCAGAGGGCATGTATGAGAGTATTCCTGGGACCCTGTGTGTGGTGGTCGAGGGCTGCAGGCAGTCTGGGTGTTGGTCGTTGGAGATGGTGGGAAGATAGGGCAGGTAAGCTATGGTAGGTGCACTGGGACTACTGAGTAGCACTTAGGGATATTGGCTTAGAGAAGCATATAATGCTGAGTGGGAAAATACAAGAGATTGAATGAGATCTATGTCAGTACTATTTATGTACATTAAAAATGCACATATGCAAAACAAAACATTTGGCGAGAACATGTAGAAACCCAAAGTTATACCTTAAAGGCATTAGGGTTGCCTGTGGGAGCAGTGAGTGGGATATGGGAATAAAAAGGATTAATAAAATAAATAGATAAAAATAAACGGGTCACTGTAATGTATGGGTTGTCTTGGTGTAGCAACTGAACATGGAAGTCGTAGGGCAGGCGCCCTGCTCAGCTGAGGTGTTCGGCTTCACCAGATGTGGGAAAACCGAAGGAGCTAATCTCCGAAATTCCTTCTACAGTCTCCTACCCTCAATCTTTTTTTTTTTTAATTTTTTTTTATTTTTAAAGATTTTTATTTATTTATTTGAGAGAGAGAGAATGAGAGACAGAGAGCATGAGAGGGAGGAGGGTCAGAGGGAGAAGCAGACTCCCTGCCGAGCAGGGAGCCCGATGCGGGACTCGATCCCGGGACTCCAGGATCATGACCTGAGCTGAAGGCAGTCGCTTAACCAACTGAGCCACCCAGGCGCCCTCCTACCCTCAATCTTTTGCACCATAGATTCCGCTGTACCCCATCCTTGATTATTTTTACGTCCCAACTGAGTAGTACATGTATATATATGTGTGTATGTATGTATTTAGAGAGCATGTGTGGGGGGAAGGTGTGAGGAAGAGGGAGAAAGAATCTCAAGCAAACACTGTGCCGAGTGTGGAGCCCGACATAGGGCTCATCTCACGACCTGAGCCAAAACCAAGAGCAGGATGCCCAACCGACTGAGCCACGCAGGCACCCCCCCCAATTGAGTGTTATCCTGTGACCAGTCTGTCTTGCATTGTGGGGAGAAACACGAAATACAGGGTAGGATTCTGGTTCTCTGGCAATGTTGTTTTCCTTGAGGCAAGAGAATAATTGAATTAGGCAATTGGACCATAGTAATAATGGCTAATAATTACTGAGCACTCAATGTGTGAGACACTCTTTTTAAAATGAACTTAATCCTCACATAACCCTATGTGGTGGGTATGATTATACTCCATTTTACACATAAGATATGGGAAGCATGCTGAGAGCTGAAGTACCAGGTGGAGGTAGCTGGGACTCCAGGCCATCTTGCTTCAGATCCCGCACACTTGACCATGGATGCTGTTGCTTCTGGTTGACCGCAATCAGGCGCTTTGGGTCCAGGCTGGATTCTGAGTCCTTGTTACCCAGAGTGTGGACCCTGTGCCAGCAGCATTGGCATATCTTGGGAGCTTGGTGGAAACGCAGACTCAGACCCACTGATTTTTTTTAAAAACTTTTACTCAAGAGAGAGCAGAGAGTGTGCGTGAGTGAGGAGAGCAGGAGCAGCGGGGAGAGGCAGGGGAAGAAGCGGACTCCCCACCAAGCTGGGAGCCCAACGTGGGGCTCCACCCCAGGACCATGACCTGAGCTGAAGGCAGATGCTTAACCACCTGAGCCACCCAGGTGCCCCAGAATCAAGATTTTAACCAGATTTCCAGGTCAGTCTCTGTTCACAGAAATACCTTCTTGAGAGAGAACAAACAACCTCTTGCCTGCTTCAGCTGTCCATCAAACGCCAGCTCTGCTAGGTGCTGCGAAGGAAACAGGAAATGGAGCTATGTGAAGGACAGGGATGATCAAACTAGAAAGATTAAATCAACACATGAGGAAGAATTCAATGCCAAACATCAGTGACTCTGATCTGTGCTTCTTCCTGTTCCTATAGGTAGGGTCCTGATCATTGCCCACCTAAACTCCAATAACCTAACTGCTCTCCTACCCTTAACCACATCCTTTTTGCTAGCAGAGTTAATGTCCTGGCATACGAATTGGACATGGGCTTTCCTCCAAGACTTATAAGGATGTGACTGGCTACTGGTAAAGAGCAAGCTTTTTATTTTATTTATATTTATTTTAAAGGTTTTATTTGACAGATACAGTGAGAGGGAACACAAGCAGGGGGAGCGGGAGAGGGAGAAGCAGGGGGAGCGGGAGAGGGAGAAGCAGGCTTCCCGCGGAGCAAGGAGCCTGATGCGGGGCTCGATCCCAGGACCCTGGGACCATGACCTGAGCCGAAGGCAGACGCGTAACGACTGAGCCACCCAGGCGCCCCTGAGCAAGCTTTTTAGTATAGAACTTACACTTTGACACCTAACCTGCTCCGAATTTCTTGACCTTTCAGTCTCTAAATTATCTGTGCTGCTGCCACGTTGGGCTTCCTGCTCTTTAGTGAACAAGCCATGCTTTCCATTTTCCAGGAACTCCCTTCTCTGTGAGCCAAATTCTGTTTTTTCACTGCTCAGTTTATAAACGCCCTCTGTGAAAGCTTCCCTCATTTGTCTTTTTTATTCAACAAATTATCAAACACCTGATACCTAGGCACTGTTTGTTTTTTATTTTATTTAAAGATTTTATTTATTTATTTGACAGAGACAGTAAGAGAGGGAACACAAGCACGGGGAGTGGGAGAGGGAGAAGCAGGCTTCCCGCTGAGCAGGGATCCTGATGCGGGGCTCGATCCCAGGACCCTGAAATCATGACCTGAGCAAACACTTAACAACTGAGCCACCCGGGCAGCCCCCTAGGCACTGTTTTAAATACTTGGGATACATAGGTGTACAAAACAGATCTTTGCCCTAGTTGAATTTATATTCTATCAAAATCCATTTCTTCCCTGTGCTGCACGTTTGCATAACCCTTTCCCAGACTAGTGGAAGATTCCATTCTGTTTGAGTGTGTGTGCACTCACAAGTATCTGAGTAACCCCCACGTGCAAGGTCTACGGAGGAGTACATGGTTAAATCCGAGATCTTTCTCTTGGGTTTACAGGCTGTTAAGGGAATCTAATACAATTAGAAAATTACATGTCCCAAGTGAGGCTAAACAGGTCGAAATTCAGAGAACAATTAAATTTAATTGTGAGTTGTTGGGGAAGACTATGAGAGGTGACTTTTGAACTGGACCTTTAAGGATGGGAAGGATGGGAAGAAGGACATTGTAGTTGGAGCAACAAGAGCAAGAGAGGAGACGTGGGGCATATACAAATAATTCATTTGATTTGGCTGGAGGATAGGATGCAAGAAGGGGCGTAGTGGGGGATGTGGTTGGAAAGAGATTGCGATCAGGCTAAGGAGTTTGGGTTTTATTGAGTTAGTAATGGGGAGCTGAGAGTTTGAGCAAAAGGGTGACCTGATTCTAGCTGTGATTTGGGAATAGTAACCTAATGAGAGTTCGATCATGTGGGGTTTTTTGTTTGTTTTTGGTTGGGATGGGGGATATTCGGAGGTTTCTGAGTGAGACCAACAAGAGCCAATGAGTACTTGATTGGGTGCAGCTGCAGTGGGAAGAGAGCCACGGACAAGGATGGATGGACAAGACCGCCAAGGCAGAATCAACAGGATGTGATGCTTTTTGAACAGGGACCAGACTCCACAGCTCTGCATACTGGGGCTTTGCACATAGATGCTCACCTTATTTGTTGAATGAACATGTATAATGGGTATTCACAGAATAAGGAGCTCAGGATTGTCTGAACTAGGAAAAGCTCCATGGAGGAAGAGGGACTTGGTTATACTTCTGGTCTTCCTCTGCTAAGACTTCCCTTCCTAATGCTTTATAATTCTGGGTGGGTCCACTTTCTAATCTAAATTACATGCCTGGAAATTGGTTGGAGGGGTGTCCTAGGCATTCTTTCTCTGAGCTGCCCCTATCTCTTGGCTGAGAATGTGCTGGTGGGGACACTAGTGCTTTAATATTTTGATCCCACTTGAGTGACCCTAGGTGGTGTTTTTTTGACCCTGAACTTCTAATGATACTACCTTCTGCAGGAGAGGCTTGATGATGGGCTGTTTCAGTGACCTGCACCTTGGTGGAGTCACTCCTGTTCCTCCAGGGTCTGCGCCTCCACTTTGGAAATCCAGTGTCAGCCCACCGAGAGGTATTCAGGCTCAGGAGGTCTTACCGGAAAAAGAGCAAACACAGGAAACATTAATAAATAAGGATGCAGGTAATTGTAGTTTATATTCGAGCTACACCAGGCTGGTCTGCTCAGCAAACCACATCGTGGTGTAAAGGTTTTGTGCTTTTTGTTTAAAATATAAAATCAGAGCATGGGAATGGGAGGCAGCTGTAGGAACCTGATGAACACAGTGTTTCTCAGTGTGATCACCATGCCGGTAGAATCAGCATCACCTGGGAACTAGTTAGAAATGCAAATTCTGGCCACTGCCACCCCCTCCAGCCTCAGACCTGGACACTCTGATACAGGTGCCCTGCAGTCTGTGTTGTAACCAGCACACCAGGGGAGCATGATGCACACTGAAGTCTGAGTACCACTGACTTACAAAAACTGTCTAAAAAATCTAAGACAGCTGTCAAAAATTAGAGCACTCTCCCCTGAACAGAGCTTGTTAAATACTAATGTTTTCTTCCTCTCCAATCCTTTTTCCAGACTCTTTGCACTGGGCATTAAATCTTATAAGCTCACAACTTAACCAGTATTTTATAATCCTTAATATTTTGGTCTGATCGACCCCCCAGAGATCCTAAGGATGCTCTTAATGCTTTCAGCACACATTTGCAAGTTATTAGGTTGGGTTATTTTCTTTCTTTTTTTTTAAGATTTTATTTATTTGAGAGAGACAATGAGATAAAGAGAGCATGAGAAGGGGGGAGGGTCAGAGGGAGAAGCAGACTCCCTGCTGAGCAGGGAGCCCGATGCGGGACTCGATCCTGGGACTCCAGGATCATGACCTGAGCTGAAGGCAGTCGCTTAACCAACTGAGCCACCCAGGTGCCCTGGGTTATTCGCAACAAAGATCTCCATAGTGAATGATGCTATATATTGATTGTATTTCTTAAAGTAAACTTTCTAAGCTTGCCCTAAAGACTAGGGTGCACCTTACTTGGAGAAGGTATCAGTTTATTATATGTCATTTGACCACGCTTTTGCTTGCATCAAATATATGGGCTAATAATTTTCTTCCCTTCCTCCAAAAAGAGAAAATACTAAAAAGGAGAAACTGCAGAATAATTTCTCCTGGGAAGAGTTTGTAGGCTCTAGGCTCTTAAGACTAGGATGAACAGAAATGCAGAAAAGATAGAAGATAAAACTTAGTACGTTTTACTTTATATTCAGTGGTTAACTCTGGTTTTCCAAAGTAAGGCTCTTGGGTTACAGATGAGTAAGTTGGGTCCCAGCTTGAGTGGTTTATTCGAGATGTGTGAAGGTCTGAATTAAGTGTTGGATTTACTCTTGCTGCACTCCCAGCCTGGAGCCAAAGCTACAGAAGGTCCCCGCCTGGTGGCTGGTGGGCGAGTGGAGACTGGGTGTGGCATAGAAGGCTCCAGAGGACTCTGCCAAGCATCCCTGAGCAGAGTGTCTGCTGGGGAAGTAGATCCCCCAGGGAAGGAGGAGGAGACCCAGGATTCCCAAAGAGGTTTTGGGGAAGGGGGAGAGAGGTTTTTTTTGTTTTTAATGAAATAAATTTTTCCTGAGGTGTATTTGTTCTGGAAAACTAAACAAGTGGTTTTATTTACTTTTTAAGATTTTATTTATTTGAGAGGGAGCGAGCGAGCGAGAGCACAAGCAGGGAGGAGAGGGAGAAGCAGACTTCCTCTTGAGCGGGGAGTCCCATGTGGGGCTCGGTGCCAGGACCCTAAGATCATGACCTGAGCCGAAGGCAGCCGCTTAACCGACTGAGCCACCCAGGCGCCCCAACAAGTAGTTTTAAAACCTTTATCTGTCCCATCCTACCCCACCGCCGGGCATATCGTGTATACCCAAACTAAGTCACTTTGGGTCCTTTAGAGGCGTTAAGCCGGTAAATCTACATATATTTTAGATTCCCCGGCAAGGACTGCCCTTCTTCTCCCACACAGAGGGGAACTCCCACATTTTCTTAGTGTCCTGCACGGCTGCTTCATTAGCTCCTGGACTCGATTCTCCCAAGTGGGACGCTGGGGCCCTAACGTCCTGGGGTGGGGGGTGGGGGCAGGGGCCAGGGCTGGGCCCAGCAAGCTGCCCCTGCACGGGGCCCGCGGGGAGCCCGCCGCCGGCGTCCAGTCCCGCGGCCCAGGCCAGGGGGGGCGGCCGGCCTCCCCACGGGTGACCCCGAGGCCGCCAGGGTGGGGGGCGCGCGCGGAAGGCCGCGGGCCGCGGGCGTGCGGTCCTTCGGGCTGCAGGGGGCGCTGTGCGCACCCTCGGGCCCGGCCGCGAGCGCAGCTCTTGTTTAAAGGGCCGACGGGGCACGTGGCTCGGACGCAGCTCGCGGCCGCCCGGCAGGAGCTCCGAGGCTGGGCGGCTCCGCTCCGCCTCCGCCGCCGCCTGCGCGCCGCGCCAGGCCCGACCGGCCAGGCCGAGGAGAGCCGCCGAGAGAGGGACGCGGGCAGCCATGGCCGGAGCGGCGCCCGCCCGGGTAAGCGCGCCGGCCCGCGGACGCCCAGACGGGCCGGGGCCGCCGCCGCCGCCGCCGCCAGGGCCCGCGAGGGTCTCCTCCCCGCCGGCGTGGAGCGGCCCCGCCGCGCGGCCTCCCGGCCCGCCGCCCCCGCCCAGGCTGGCGCCTGCCGCGTCGTGCCAGCTCGGTCCGCCCCGCCAGCCCGGTCTCGTGTCCGGGCCGGGCTTTCGGGCCGGCCGACCGGGCGGCCCAAACGGCAGGCGGGGCGGCGGGGGCGGCGGGGCGGCCCCGACGGCGGGGGACAGGCCGGGCTTCCTCGCAACACTTCAGATGACAGGCCTTGCATCGAAACCGAGTGGCTGTTTCCCCCCGTCCATTGTCTGGTTGGTGGCACGCAGGGAGGACAGGGTCGCCCAGCCCCGTGCGGTTCTGACAACCCGAGTCTGAGGCTCAGGGAAGGGACCGGCCCAAGGTCACTCACCTAGTCGAGGCCGTAGTCCGACGTCTAGGCCAGAATTTTGGAATTCCACCCCCGTGAAGGTACCCAGGGTTCTACTTTTACCTAAGAGAAAGGTATGGAATGCTGTCTATGAGAGGGATGGTAGGTAGATTTTTTTTTTTTAAAGATTAGTTTAGCATGTTGAATTAGATTATTTGGATTATTTTGGAATGTTGGTCGGTAATGTGCAGTATGCCCAATTCGGAGAAAAGAATCCTCTGACTATTTTTGACACACCAGAAAATCTCTTGCAAACAGAATGCAGTAAGTGGCTTCTACTATTATTAATACCTCTTAGTGAAGTTTTTTTTTTTTAAAGATTTTATTTTTATTTATTTGAGAAAGAGAGAATGAGAGACAACACAAGACAGAAGAGGGTCAGAGGGAGAAGCAGACGCCCTGCTGAGCAGGGAGCCCGATGCGGGACTCGATCCCGGGACTCCAGGATCATGACCTGAGCCGAAGGCAGTCGCTTAACCAACTGAGCCACCCAGGCGCCACTTAGTGAAGTTTTTGAAACCTTGATTTTTGTGGATCCTTTTAAAGTAGGAGCTTCCCCTCCCTCTCCTTTCATTAATGAGTTTGGTGCTTCCCTTAGGAGTCCCTGAGTGCAAGGGAGAGAAAAGGGGTGGGAATACTGTGGTTTGTGGCCCTTTCCCCCCCGGGAATACCCTCCAAGACATCTCTGTAACTGTGGTGGTGACATCACCAGCTCCCACCGAACCCGGAGCCACTCCCTCAGAACTTTTTCTGACCATTTCTATCCGCTCACTCCTTTCCCTCTACCATCTTACAGTACCCGAGAGTCAAACAGGACGGATTTGCCCCCAACTCTTTCTATACAGAATTTTTCTCCTGGAGAAGGAAGAACCACATAACTTTTTTTTTTTTAAGATTTTATTTGACAGAGACACAGCAAGAGAGGGAACACAAGCAGGGGGAGTGGGAGAGGGAGAAGCAGGCTTCCCGCGGAGCAGGGAGCCCGATGCGGGGCTTGATCCCCGGACCCTGGGATCGTGACCTGAGCCAAAGGCAGACGCTTAACGACTGAGCCACCCAGGCGCCCCCACATAATTTTTTTTTTGCATTCCCCCATTGCACCTTTACAATGGCAGGTGGTCAGTAGTTGTTACTGAATGAAGGTTGTTTAATTGTGTGGTCATTCATTCATTTAGTAGGTATTCATTGAGCATCTGCAGTGAGAGAGGCACTCTTTTAGAAGCTGGGAATACAACAGCGAATCACACACACCCTCGGGGAACTTATGTTCTGGGGGAAACAAACCGAAACCCAGGCAGATGCATGGAATCGTCCTGGATTCTTTTCTTCTTCTTTCTTTTTTAAGATTTTATTTAGGGCGCCTGGGTGGCTCAGTTGGTTAAGCAACTGCCTTTGGCTCAGGTCATGATCCTGGAGTCCTGGGATCGAGTCCCACATCGGGCTCCCTGCTCAGCAGGGAGTCTGCTTCTCCCTCTGACCCTCCCCCCTCTCATGCTCTCTCTATCTCATTCTCTCTCTCAAATAAATAAATTAAAAAAAAAGATTTTATTTATTTATTTGAGAGAGAGAGACAAATAGCAAGAAAGAGCACAAGCAGGGAGGAGAGGGAGAAGCAGACTCCCAGCTGAGTAGGGAGTCTGACACGGGACTTGATCCCGGGACTCTGGGATCATGACCTGAGCCAAAGCAGACGCTTAACCAACTGAGCCACCCAGGCGCCCCCCAGCAAGGCTTTTAGCACGAGGTACTGGGACTGGGCTGTTGCACATGCTCCGGCTCATGCATCAGGCACCAGGGTGAGTTGAGGCACTCTAGAAGCTCTTTCCAAGGTGCCAAAGGACAATGGAATGAAAAAGGTGGAGGAAAAAAGCCCATGGGAACTGCTTCTTGCTGCATCCCTGAGCCTGAACCATCACCAGCAGTATCGTCAACATCCTTATCATTATCATCTTAGCTGAATCAACATGGGGCTTGTGTGCATTGAGTATTTACCACATGCTAGACATTGTGCTTTCAACAAAGATTGTGTCATTCATTCCCACAATCTTCTCATGTGAGTACCATTTTCTAGATGTGGAAGTGAAGTTGAAAGCTGTGTGAAAAACCTTGCCCAAAGTCAGCCAGCTGGGGAGTGGCGGGGTTGCTGCTTGGACCTGGGCTCTCTGGCAGCAGATCTCATGTTCTCTGTACTTCCAAGCCTGTCCCTTCATTTGCAGAGGAGGAGGAGACTAAGATCCAAGATGGAAGCCACCTGAGAACCGCAGATGCTTTCTGTCTTTGGCCATGTGTTTCCTCCCGTTTTCCACTTGCTAATTCCTTGGTCCAGCCAGTGTTGCCTGTCGCTCACTGATGTCCCTGCCTCCCTCCCACACCTGCCTGACTGTCCCGTAGGATCCTGGCTGGGGCTTTCCCTGGGCAGGGGTCACTGTGAGGCTTTGTGAAGTACACATTTTGATGGTGTCATTCTGATACCATCTCCCCTTTTTCTTCTTGTGGACAGGCTCCAGAGAGGGACAAGCAGACAGAGGACGAAAGCCCTTCGACACCTTCTTTGTCACCCCCACCAGCTGCTGAGAAGAACTCTTACCTGTACTCCACGGAGATCACACTGTGGACGGTGGTGGCCGCCATCCAGGCCTTGGAGAAGAAGGTGGACTCCTGCCTGGCCCGCCTGCTTTCTCTAGAAGGGCGGACGGGGACGGCCGAGAAGAAGCTGGCGGACTGCGAGAAGACGGCCGTGGAGTTCGGGAACCAGCTGGAGGGCAAGTGGGCCGTGCTGGGGACCCTGCTGCAGGAGTACGGGCTGCTGCAGAGGCGGCTGGAGAACATGGAGAACCTGCTGAGGAACCGAAATTTCTGGATCCTGCGCCTGCCCCCGGGCAGCAAGGGGGAGGTCCCCAAGGTATCCCTCGGGCACCTGGGGTGGGACAGCCCGAGGGACTGTGCCTGTAAGCGTGTGGGTGAGCATGCGCGACACTGTTCCAGGTGCCCGTGACCTTTGATGACGTGGCCGTGTATTTCTCTGAGCCGGAGTGGGGCAAGCTGGATAATTGGCAGAAGGAGCTCTACAAGCACGTGATGCGGGGCAACTACGAGACGCTGGTGTCCCTGGGTAAGGCTGCGTAGGTGGGGATCTGGGTCTGTGTCCGCAGATTGGCCTCCAGCAGTCTGTGTCTTTGCTTTGACTTGTGTTCTTCTCACGTCTCTCCAGCTCTGTGGGCAGCTGGGTGGCGGGTGTCCAGTCTTGACGCAGGTCCCCTTCTGTTCTGTATGCAGATTATGCCATCGCCAAACCAGACATCCTGACCCGGATGGAGAGGGGAGAGGAGCCTTGTCCTGAAGGCCCGTGGGGCCAGGAGGAGGGAAGTAAGAGGGAGGCGGCACGCCCAAGGAGGCCAAGCCCTGGTGAGTGGGAGCGAGATGGGGAATGAGTGGGGCACACTGCTCTCCTGGGCTTTCCAGACGTGCTGTGAGTCCAGGAAGGGGCACAGGCCCTGAACGCGAAGTGGGGCCCACTGTGTCCTAGGCGGGCCTAGGAGCTTTTGTCTTAGAGCCGCACGGTGTCTGCTTCTGAGTGATGGGCCGGCGGGACTGGCATCGTGTGGTTGGGTGTTGTGCGGACTCCGGGACACGGCGGACGTCAAGCGCGGACTTGCCGAGTGCTGTGTAAGCGGGTGACCCTGCTCACGCAGCAAATTGCTGCCTCTCTTGCTTGCCTCTCCCACCTCTGCTCCCTGACGTGAACCCGCGGCTCTAAGGCCTGTCGTGAACTGGCTTCCCTTTGTGGAAACGGCCCTCTCGGAGGAGCGGCCCCGACTTCGTCCCCAGAGCTGGTGTGGTAAGGGACAGTGGGTCCGGAGTTGACAGCACATCAGAGTCGTCTGGGAGGCTCTTTTTTTTTTTTAAATAAAATTTAAGAAAATAAACGGAAGTAGGGAGAAAAGTCCGTCCAGCAAACCTCCAAGTGACCGTCGCACACGTGGAGCAGTGATCAGGAGTCGCCACGTTGGCTTCCTCTGTCTCTTCCTTTTCTCTGAACGTAACCGAAATACCAGTGTCACACCCAGCAGATTAATACCTCATCCCGAGTCCATGTTCTCTTTTCCCTGCTGATTATCTCAAAACTGTTTTCTGTAGGTGTTGGGTCCCCTAATGCTGGGACACCGACGTCCACCTGTTGCATTCGATTTATAAAAAGTCTGTTAAAGGGCGCCTGGGTGGCTCAGTTGGTTAAGCGACTGCCTTCGGCTCAGGTCATGATCCTGGAGTCCCGGGATGGAGTCCTGCATCGGGCTCCCTGCTCGGCAGGGGGTCTGCTTCTCCCTCTGACCCTCCCCCCTCTCATGTGCTCTCTCTCTCATTCTCTCTCTCAAATAAATAAATAAAATCTTAAAAAAAAAAAAAAGTCTGTTAAAAAGCCCGTGAAAGCTTCCCCCTATCCCGCATTTAACAGCCTTATTGTGATAGAGTTAACATACCAGCCAATTCCTGGATTAGAGTATACGGCTCATTGTTTTTACTCTCTTCACAGTTTAGTGACCATCACCACAATCTGAACTTTCCTCGCCCACCAAAGAGAAATCTGTACTTGTGGGTGTTAATTTCCTGTTTCCTTCCCCCTGCTCCCCAGCCCTAGGCAACTTCTCATCTCCTCTCTGTGTCTTAGATTTGCCTCTTCTGGGCATTTCACGGAAATAGAGTCCTACTGTGTGGGACCTTTAGTGACTGCCTTCTTTCACTGAGCGCGCACTCCAGGCTTACCCACCTTGTGGCCTGTGTCAGGACCTCTGTGGATACACACGTTACCACATTCTCTTGCTCCGCTCCTTGGTTGATGGACCATCCTCACCTCCCCCTCTTTAGTATCATTTCTTTGTTGACATTCTAACGTCATTTATCTTTTTTTTTTTTTAAGATTTTATTTATTTATATCAGAGAGCGAGCGAGCACAAGCAGGGAGAGGGGCAGGCAGAGGGAGAAGCCGGCTCCCCGCTGAGCAAGGAGCCCGACATCGGGCTCGATCCCAGGACCCTGGGATCATGACCTGAGCTGAAGGCAGACGCTTAACGACTGAGCCACCCAGGCGCCCCATAATGTCATTTATCTTTTTAAATGCCATCCTTTCCTGTATTCTGGATTTGGTGTCATTTATTGTTCTTCTGTTGCTTGCATTTCCTATAAACTGGTAGCTCAGGAGGCTTCTTTAGATCCAGTTTCAACCTTATGGGCAGCATGGCTTCAGAGGTGGTGCCGTGTACTCCCTGCCAGGCCATGGCACAAGGCACGGAGGCTCCGTCCGCCTGCCTTCTGCTGATCCTGAGCTCGATCCTTCTGTTCTGCTCCCCGTCACCTTCTCAGTAGTCATTGCCCAGTGTTGCCCAGATTTGTTATTCCATTAGGGGTTGCAAAATAGTGAGAGTCTGTCATACGTATGCACTGCATAGCTGAAATTCTTTTATAAAGAATAATTTCCCTAATCAACTCTTAGTTTCCCTGAAATATAGTCTGTACAGAAAAGGCAGGATAGAAGCTTAATTCTTTTCCTTCATCTGTTTTCAGAGTGAAGAGTTACTGCCTTAGGAGCCTTCAAAGGTGACCAATACTTGGGCTTTTTTTTTTTATTAGGTTATGTTAATCACCATACATTACATCATTAGTTTTTGATATAGTGTTCCTTTTTTTTTTTTTTTACTTTTTAATGACTTTAGAGACTGTTGAATATTTTATATATGCCAATCGTTTGCAGCCATTATTTTTTGTGCTTAAATTGTCCCATCTTTAGCTCGTGGGAGCCCTTTCAAGTTGGCTCTTAGGTCACTTTGATGTGAATTCAGTGGCTTTCAGATACCATAAAATGTTCTAGAATCATCTAGTGTATTTCCTGCCCCAGACCTAGAATGCAAATTTCTCCAAGGAGTTTTGATTCCTTTCAGTGACAAATGATATCTGGAGACCACAATATGAGTGCCAGTAGTTGCTAATTTTTGACATTACTTCTAGGTTTTTCAGAAAATATGTATTTTTTTTTTGAGAAAATATGTGTTTTTGAAAAGGAAAAAATCATGAGCTCATAGTGATATTTCTCATTCAAATTTAATGTTCTTTCTTCTTATACTTGAATATCACTTTCTTTTTACATGGAAATCTTAAACAATTAGACTTTTGAATGAAGGCTGAGATTTTTTGCAGGTTTTTTTTTTTTTTTTTAAGATTTTATTTATTTGAGAGAGAGTGAGAGGGAGCACATGAGAGGGGTTAGGGTCAGAGGGAGAAGCAGACTCCCTGTCGAGTAGGGAGCCCGATGCGGGACTCGATCCAGGGACTCCAGGATCATGACCTGAGCCGAAGGCAGTCGCTTAACCAAGTAAGCCACCCAGGCGCCCTGCAGTTCTTTTTGTCCTCCGAACGTATTCCATTCAGGACTTATAGACAAAGTAATGCCTTTTAAGTCACTTGAAATAATTATTTTCTCTATAGGGTTATGTCACCAACTTGATACACAGTTAAGTTCATTTATTTCTATATATTTTTAGATTTTTTATTTTATTATTTATTTTTAAAAGATTTTATGTATTTATTTGAGAGAGAGAGAAACCACGAGTAGGGGTAGGGGCAGAGGGAGAGGGAGAAGCATACTCCCCGCTGAGCAGAGAGCCTTACATGGGGCTTGATCTCAGGACCCCGGGATCATGACCTGAGCCAAAGGCAGACGCTTAACGACTGAGCCACCCAGGCACCCCTATTTTTAGATGTTTAGAAATGGTTCTTTTTACCTTTTCATTGAATATGTACGGCATGTTACGTTTGCAAAGTCAAAATGGTTTAACAGGATACATTGAGGGAAGTCTTATTTCCATTCTTGTCCCGTCCTTGTCCCTATAGATAACCATTTTTATTAGTGTCTTGTTTATACTTCCGGTGTTTCCTTTCGAAAAGATCAGTAACAGATATATTTGCTTTCCCCCATCCCTGTCTTACACAATTTGTCCTGGAGATCACTTCATATGTATATATATACAGACCTTCCTTCTTTACTTTTGTGGATGCGGAATGTTCCAAGGTGTGAGATCGCAGTTTGTTTAACCAGTCCCTGCTGGTGGACACTTACGGTATTTCCAGTATTTTGCTGATATAAATATGCTGTAGAGGCTACTTTGTGCATAAGGCAGCTCATATTTTTGCCAGTGCATCTTTGGGATAGATTCCTAGAAGCTGCACTGCTGGGTCAGAGGTAAATGAACACATAAATTTTCGATTTATCACCAAATAGCCCTCCATGGAGGTTGTATCATTTGCCTCTCCCTCAATGTTGTGAAAGAGGCCCCTTCCCAGCACCCTAAGCAATGACTGGTCTTCCTGACTATACCTATACATTTGCCAGCCTGGACATCTCATATAAATGGAATCTTATAATACATGGTCTTTTGACTCTGGCTTCTTTCCCTTAGCATAGTGTTTTCAGGGTTCATCCATGTTGTACTGTGTATCAATATTTCATTTCTGTTTTCTTTTTTTTATCCTGGTCAAATACACATAACATAAAATTTACCATCTTAGCCATTTTTAGGTGTACTGTTTGGTGGTATTAAATACATTATAATGTGATGCAATCCCATCAGAACTTCTTTCACCCTGTAGAGCTGAAACTCTCTATTCATTAAACAGTAATCCCTCATTGTGTCCCCTGCCCCAGCCCCTGGCAGCCACAGTACTACTTTCTGTCTCTATGATTTTGTCTACTCCAAGGACCTCATAGAAGTGGAATCACACAGCATTTGTCTTTTCGTGACTGGCTTTATTTCATGTAGCATGATGTCCTTAAGGTTCATCTGTGTGGTAGCGGGTATCAGAATTTCTTTCCTATTTTTAGTCTAAATAATCTGTTGTCTGTGCCTACCACATTTTGCTTATCCATTCATCTGTTGACAGACACTTGGGTTTCCATGTTTTAGCTATTGTGAATAATGCTGCTATGATCATGGATATACAAATACCTCTTGGAGACTCTGTCTTCAGTTCTTTTCAGTATATACTTAGAAGTGAAATTTCTGGGTCATATGGTAATTCTATTTTTAATTTTTTTTAAAGATTTTATTTATTTATTTGAGATAGAGAGCAAGAGCAGGGGGCAGAGGGAGAAGCAGGAGAGCCAATGCAGGACTCCATCCCAGGACCCGGGGATCATGACCTGAGCTGGAGGCAGATGCTTCACCGACTGAGCCACCCAGGCACCCTCTATTTTTAATTTTTTGAGGACTGTTACACTGTTTTCTACAGTGACTGTACCATTTTATATTCTCACCAACAGTGTGCAAGGGTTCCCGTTTCCCCACATTCTTGCCAACACTTAATATTTTCTGTTGTTTCTTTTTAATAGTAGCCATCATAATGAGCGTGAAGTGGTATCTTATAGTTTCTTTCTATGTCTAGTCTGTTGAATGGTTTTATCAAGAAAGGGTGTTGAATTTTGTCAGATGCTTTTTCTGTATCATTTGAGATGATCATGGGGTGTTCTCCCTTCATTCTGTTAGTATGGTGTATTCCATTGTTTGAGTTTCATATGTTGAACCAACCTTGCATTCCAGGAATACACTCCACTTGGTCATGGTGTTTAATCCTCTTTTTTTTTTTTTCAAGATTTCATTTATCTATTAGAGAGAGCATGAGGGGGTGGGGTGGCAGAGCGATAGGGAGGAGCAGACTCCCCACTGAGCAAGGAGCCCAATGTGGGGCTCAATCCCTGGGATCATGACCTGAGCCGAAGGCAGAGGCATAAATGACTGAGCCACTCAGGTACCCCGGGAACAGGGTTTTTTTCTTCTTTTTTTTTTTAATTAGAGAGAGAGGGGGGAGGAGAGGGAGGAGGGTCAGAGGGAGAAGCAGACTCCCTGCTGAGCGGGAAGCCTGACGTGGGAGTCGATCCTGGGACTCTGGCACTCGATCCTGGGACTCTGGGATCATGACCTGAGCCAAAGGCAGACTCCCAACAGACTGAGCCACCCATGTACCCCAACAGTATATTTTTAATGGTACCTCTCTTACATGAGTGTGGTTGAGTATCTTTTTATTTGTTTATGGGCCATTTAAATTTCTTACTCTGTGAACTCTTTGTTCATCTCTTTTGCCCTAGGGAGCTTTTTTAAAATGTATACTAATGGGTGCCCAGGTGCCTCAGTCGGTTAAGTGTCTGACTTTGACTCAGGTCATGATCTCAGGGTCCTGGGATTGAGCCCTGTGTCAGGCTCCATGCTCAGCAGGGAGTCTGCTTCTCTCTCCCTCTCTCCCTCTGTCCCTCTATCCTCCGACTCATGCTTGCACTTGCACACTCTCTCTCTCAAATAAATTAAATCTTTAAAAAAAACCCAGGGGCTCCTGGGTGGCTCAGTCAGTTAAGCATCTGCCTTTGGCTCAGGTCATGATCCCGGGGCCCTGGGATCAAGCCCCATGTCAGGCTCCCTGCTCCGTGGAGTGTGTGCTTCTCCTTCTCTGCCCTTCCTCTTGCTTGTGTGTGCACGCCTGCGCACGCTGTGTCTCAAATTAATAAATTTCTAAAAATAAATAAATACAATAAAATCTTTTTCAAAAAATGCATACTTCCTAGGCCTACCCAGAACTACTAATGAGAATCTTGGGGTGCTTCCAAGGGGATCCTTATACATCAGCCTGGTATAGGACTCGGGACTGGAAGGCACTGTTCTGGTGTTCTGAGCTGGGAGGCCCTAACAAACCACATCCTTGGCCGCTGTGTCATGACTTGTCTGGTACGATCAGATGTTCCTGTGCTGTACCTTTTCCTTCTTTTTTAGCCTCTAAGGATCAGTGAAGTCCACTAGCCTGTGTTTGGCCTGATGCCCCCACCGTCAGTCCCAGTGACTATAGTCAGCCCTTCCTCAGAGGCTCCTGCCCCTGGCGGGGGGGATCTCTGTGTTGTCCTTGGTGTCACTGAGTTGCATTTTCCAGGCCTCCCTCCACACCCAGAGCACATCCTCAGCCCCGTCAGCCCTGCCCGGGAGGAGCCAAAAGAAGGGCAGGTCCCCAAGCACCAGCAAGACTCAGAGGCAAGAGCAACTGTACCCAGAGCAACCACGGGTGAGTGAGGGCCACCGGGTAGCCGTGTGAACAGCATCTCAGCAAGGACCAGACAGGTGCTACTGAGAACGAGTGCTAAAGCGTGAGGGTGGGACAGATGGTGGGCACCAGGCTTGGCTGAGCTGGACAGGCTTCCTGGGAAGGGGACCCCTGAAACAGGCCTTAGAGGAAGGGTAGATTTGGGCTGGGAACGAAGGGCATTTTCCGCAGGAGAAAATGGTCTGAGCCAAAGTGTGGGTCCCTGAGGCCTGCTGAGGGCCAGGCCCTCTGGCCTGGCTGGAGTGAGGGGAGGGACACACAGAGGTGGGTCCTGGGCCTCCTCAGGCTTCCGACCACGGTCACGTTAACCGGACAGTCTGTTATATGCCTATAGCACGGTGCTGGCATGTGCCTTCTTCAGTAAATGTCCTCTCTCTAGAGGCCCGTGAGGGGCTCTGTGGCTTCAGTCCCCCTTCCAGTGATAACTGTCTGCGTGTGTGTAAAGGAAGTTCCTGTCCATTCTTTTACAAAAATGAAGTATAACTCAGAGGGCATTTGGCATAACACATGGCATATAATCCAGAGTGGTGGTGTCTCCAGACTGCACCTTGCTAGCTTGGCTTCTCCTGTTCCCATGCCTCCTCCTTCCCCCTCCTTCCCACGGGCTTGACTTTTCAGTCTGGGTTGCTTTCTCTCCAGTAATTTCTGTGACTCTCCCCCAATGAATATGAGCTCCCTGGGGGTGGAGGTGATCCTCCCTCCCTCCCCGGTGTCCCTGCTGCCCAGCCAGTGTGTAAGGAGAGAGGACCTTCTCATTGTCCCTGCTCCCCTGCAGACCTGGCACTGTGCCCCAGGGGCCTCCCCAAACCCTCTGTCCTTCGGAGGTCCATCAGGGTGACGGAGCTGTCAGCACTGGCCCAGATGGGAACTGGGGGCGTGGCCTTCACCGCTCTCCTCTCACCTCTGAAGCGGAGGCCATGGAGTGGGCAGTCCTCCGGACAGAGCCCTGGGGCCCCCTCTTCCTGGCTGGCATTCGAGCATGTCCGGGGTCTGCTCAGAGATGCTCGTGCCGTCCTGCACGAGCCCGGTGTCGGGAAAGGCCCTCACAGTGTCTCTCTCACAGGGCCTCCAGCCTCGGTTAAACGGGAGGAAGAATCTTCAGGTGGGGAGTCTCCAACCTCCCCTCCTGGGGACAGCCTGCCCGGCATGGGGCCAGGTAAGTGATGGGAGGGGGCCCTTGGGAGTGGGCTGGGAGTTGGCGCAGTGGGCCCTGGTGAGGGGCTTCTTCCAGAGGGGTTCCTTCCTCATCCCCAGGTACTGTTGCCCTGGGGCTCTTGGCGACCCAGACCATCTAGGTCCCGGTTTTCCCCCATCACGTCTGGCTTGGTGGGAACGCACTGCTTGAACACAAGCTGTACGCACCAGGTCTGCAGTCTGGTGACAGGCCTCACGCAACCCTGTGAAGTGACTCAGGCGCACAACCTCCAGTGTCTTGCAGTTTGTACATGGTGGCCTACGGTTTAAATTTAGATCCCCTGCCTAGAGGCCACAAAACTCAGCTTACACCCTGATGAGCAGGGAAAAAGAAAGCAATTATCGCCCATTCTGGCTTTGGGGTGGTTTTCTGTCCTAATAGAAAGGGATCCAGTTCTCACCTGGTTCCATCCTGGTACCGGCTTTGGTGGGAGGCAGAGGTGAGATCTGGGCCCACCTTGGGGTAGTGGCATGGTGGGAGTCCAAGCTGGAGATGAGCTTCAAATGAAGAGGTCTGGGAACCTTGGCCTTCACATGGAATAGGGCCTAAGACCCACACTAATCCCTAAGTTTAGGAATACCATGGTAGCCCATTGAATGCAACGGTTTAGATGCAAAATTTAAATGATTCTTATAGACTCCTTACTGATTCTGTAGCTGGAGGACTAAATTACAAACCGTTGGGTCATTTCCAACATAGAAATAAAAGTTCTGTCTGGAGTTATTGTGAGGGTTGCCGGTAAGCTGCACTGAGTAAGAACCCCAACCAAGGTCTTGACATCAGGTGCTGGTCCAGAAGGTTCAGCAGTTGGCAGCAGTCTCCTGGGGTAGGATTTAAGTTCATGCTTCAGCAAGAATAGAAATTGCTGGTAAGGGGCTAAAGATTTCGTTTTAATAGAGGGTAAGTTTCGTGGTCAGCCTTTGAGCAGACCTTGGGCTGCAGCAGCTGAGCTGCTGGGCACTGGGCGAGGTCAGAGAAGCCAGTAGTCAGGGCTGATTCCAGAAAAGCCCAGAGGGGAATAGCAGTTGAAGGATCTCGAAGAATGCACAGTGTTCCAGGTCGGGCCTGTGGCCAGGACCTTCCTTCCCAGCATCAGGGACCCCTGTGTTGCCTCAGAGCCCCCCTCTCTCCAATGTCCTGGCAGTTCCTATGCCTAAGTCCCACCTCAGAGTCAAGTGTGACTCACACTGAGGTCCAGCCAGGGAGCCTCGGTCCTCGTGCCTCCTGCCTGTCCCTCGAGAGCAGGTGCCAGACAGGTAGTGGATGCTCAGTGTTGATTTGTTATGTGGATGAGTAGCTCAGAGTATGGCTAAGTCACCCGCCACCTCCAGGCCTGAGGCTTCTTACCTAGTCCAGTGGCCCCAGGGCTCACTGTCATTCATTGATGGGAACTAATGTTATCAGAATTCTTGGGGATCCTGTGCGGCCAGTGTATCTCAGGGTCCAGGGTCTCCACTGCATCCTCCACCTGTTGTCTTTCACATCTGGCCTCTGACCCCCCCGGGTCCCTGGATCCTGGTTTTGCGGCTTTGTCTCCTGTCTCCCAAGCTTGGCCTCCAGGAATGGGCCACTGGAACATCTGGGCCACGTGACAATAAACAGACTGGATGATGTTGGGAGGCCGTGCCTGCTCGGTAGGGCCAAGTGAACGGGGTCCCTGATGTGTGCTCTGAGCACTTGCAGGAGAAAGGGCTCTGCGAAAGCAGGAGCAGGGTGGGTGCAGATGTGGCTCGGGATGTGCTGGAGGCCAGGGCTGGGGGGAGTGGCCTGGGTGGGGGGCTAGTGTGGCCCACTCGAAATCAATGGAGATTCCTTTCTCCAGGTGGTGGTGGTGTGGTCATCAAGACAGAAGCCCAATCTGAGGACGAGATGATGCCCGAGCAGCTCTTCCTGGGGGAGTCCCGTAGCCAGCCCGTGTGTAGAATGCCCAAGGGGCCCAGGAGCAGGACCGCGGGCCCTGGCCGGCTTCATGCCGCAGGAGTGCCACGGGTGCGGGCGGGGGACCCGCGGCCGCCAGGGGCCGTGGGGGAGCCGCCCCGCATCCTTCCTCGCCGGCGAGAGCGGACCTTCCCCTGCCCTGACTGCGGGCAGAGTTTCCGCTTGAAGATTAACCTGACCATTCACCAGCGGACCCACGTGGAGGAGGAGCACAGGGAGACTCCGGGGAGCCCGGCCCCGGGCTGGGGGGAGGCCCACGCCGCTCTGGAGCCGGGGGAGGTGGTGGTGCCGGGCCCTGTCATCCGCTGGCTCCCCGAGGAGCCCGGAGGCCACCGCTCCCTGGCAGGCCGTCCGTGCCTGGGGCGGCGGCCGGCGACCAGCAAGGTGTACCACTGCAGCGAGTGCCTGCGCTTCTTCCAGCAGCGGAAGAGCCTGCTGCTGCACCAGCGCCTGCACACGGGCACCAGCCAGGGCTGGCCGGCCTGTCCCTACTGCGGCAAGGCCTTCCGCCGGCCCTCCGACCTCTTCCGGCACCAGCGCATCCACACTGGCGAGCGGCCCTACCAGTGCCCCCAGTGCGGCCGGGCCTTCAACCGGAACCACCACCTGGCCGTGCACATGCAGACTCACGCCCGAGGCCAGGCCGGCCCGCACTTCCCTGCTTCCTCCGCCCTCCCTGGGAGCCCCCCGCTGCCCCGGCCCAGCCACAGCCAGGAGGGCTGAGCCGGCAGGAGCGTGCAGGGGTACCCTCCGGCTCTCCCGGGCACCCCCCGCAGGACTTCTGTGCACCTTCAGGCCTTTCCCCTTGTGCCTGACGCCAGTTCCTCATTCCAGGATAACTTTGGAGAGAACTTTTCTTCATTCAGATGGGAAGCAGCGGCCGTTTTGGTGACTGTGTGTGTGACCAGATGCCTCAATTTCCTCTTTCCTAAGTTTGTCACTCTTTGCCGCCTCTTCTACATTCCTGACTTAGGAAGGATCCCTTAAGGCTTAGAGGATGCCGACTTCCGGTGAGAGCAAGAGGGCTGGAGATAGAGGCCCTTGCAGTAGGGGGCGATAGAGACACGGAGGGCCTGCAGTTTTGATTCTGCCCACGCAGGTCACAGCAGAGTGGACAGTCTGAAGAGTAGGCACTGGAAATTTGAGTTTCCTACTGTGTTATTTTGAAACTTTTTTTTTCCTCCATACGGAGTCTTTCTAGTGCTTTTGTAAGTGTTAAGTGTGGTTGCAAAGGGGACCAGGAGCCCTGAGGGTCAGGAATTATTCTGCCACCTCCTTGTTGGTGGGGATGGTAGAGGGGCTGTCCAGATCAGCCCGGGTGTGGGAGGATGCTTGGCTGCTGCCCTGGACATCAGGTGCCTTCCTGGGTATGCGTTCTTTGGCCCAGAATGATTCCCAATATGCCAACATCCGTGATTGATTTTGGTTATTAGTTGAGAGGGGGAAACTGAGGCCTGGAGTGGCTGACCCTTCCCCCAAGGTCTCAGTATTATGGGTATGCACGCTGCATGGACTGGACCCCGCACAACTCCTTAGGGATGGGGGAAGACGCAGACCCAGCCCAGGAAGCTCCTCGCAGAGAGGAAGATCCCAATGTGGGTGAGGCTGTTCAGCCAAGCTGGATTCCTGAGCTACCAGGCCTGAGTTGTCGTTAAAGGAGCAGTTGGTTTTCAAGAATTTGGGGCTGGTAGCAGAGTTAGGCCAGGATTTTTTTAACCACCTCCAGCCTCATGTTCCTCACCTGTCAAAGGGGGTAATGACCCCAGTGCATCCTACCTCACCTTAGGGTTTTCAGGGTCATAAAAGATTTAGAGGCAGTGGGCCAAATAGGAAGCCTGGTTTTTGTCCTTCTTTTCTAGTTCAGGGCCCCCCCTTTCTCTCCCATGTTCATCTCCAGCCCTTTGCCCCAGTCAGAATCCCTCAGGAAGGACCTTTCTTTTCTAGAGTGAGTGGAAGGTCCCTTGGGTGCAGAGTGAGGAGAGACTTTCCCCTTGGGCTATATCCCCAGGGAGCCCTTTGTACTTCAGTGGAACAAATTCTTACCAAAGCAGTGAGGTTCAAACCGTAGAAGTTCGGGCAATAGCATCAGGCCCCCTGGAGAAGTCTTGATGGCAGCTAGCATCTTGTGCCTCTTAAATCACACCACTTCGGGTGCTGCCTAGAGACCAACCCTTGGTTTGGGTGATTTAAAACTGGAGTACTGGGTCCTCGGCTATTTTGATGGTCTTATTTGCCTTGGCTCTATGTGAAGTGGCAAGCATTCAGACCTGCTTCCAGGTGCCTGGGTCCCTGGCTGTGCCACTTCTGTTGCCCCTCTGACCCTCACCCCTCTCCCAAAGTCATAAACAGAGTTGGGGGCAGATGGGAACGTTACCATCATCTCTGGGGCAAGAGTGAGTATGCAAGTCGGTGAGAGTCCAGCCAAGTTCCCCTGGGCTTGGGAAGAAGAGCTGCCACCCTCCCCTGCTGTGCATTCTGCTTGTCTGCTCTGGCATCCCCAACCGTCACCAGGGGCCCCACCAGTCGGGGCTGGGCTGTCAGCAAGTGTTCAGACAGGATATGGTGCAAATGGAGCTGCTCCGAGCTTACCCCTTCGCTTTAAGAGCTAGTCTCAGGTGTTTCCTGGGGATGCCTCAAGGCTCAAAGTTCCTAGACCTTTCTAATGCTTAATGTCCTGTGTAAACGCAGGTCCTCCAGCAAGTACTCCAGCAACGGCACAAGCCAGGAGTGATCGCTGGACACAGGCCGTCCCATTTCTTCCAAAGCCCTCAGTGTGCCGGGTTCCTGGTGACCAGGCCTTGTGAGTTTACCTGGCACGTATGCATCGTGGTGCCGGAGCAGAGCGGTGCTCCAGAACCCTGGAGGCTAGAACCTGGTTTGGCCTTCGACTCGCTCCTAGCTCTGCGTCTCGGCTTCCTCATTTGTAAACAAGGAAGGTGGGGTCCTGTGCTAAAGGCTCTTAAGCACTGTGACGGTGGCGGTCCTCTGCCTTCATCGGTGCTCAATAAATATGTTGAACTGAAGGAGTGTGTGCTCATGACCTTCCTGCTCTCCGGGAGTCAGCCCTCTCGGGGAGCGCGTCCAGCAGGCGGGCCCGCAGCCCCGCAGCCCCGCACAGGCCTGGGCTTCCGGGCTGCGGCGGCGCGCGAGAGCAGCCCCGACGCCAGACGCCCTCGGCCGCCGGCCCCGCCCACTCTGGGCGTCCGCTGCGGGGGCGGGGCCTCTCGCCCGACCAGTGGGAAACCGGCTCCCGGCCGCGGGGACCCGCCGCGCGCGGGCCGGGGGCGGAGTTTCCAGGACTGGCCAATGAGGAACCGGCTTCGGGACGCGGGGCGGGTCCCACTCGGGGCAGAGCTGCCGCCTGCCCGGGCTGCCGCGACGCCGACGCCACGTTCGCCCGCGGCGTATCCGTCGCTCCGCGCTCCTAGAGCAGGCCGGGACGTACGGCCGCTGGAGAGCGGGGTGGGGGGCGGGGGGATGATGTCCACCGGGACGCTCGAGGCCACAGCGGCCACGGGGAGCTGTCTGAGGTCAACGATACAGTACCTTCTCCTTTCTCGGCTGCGGACTTAGCCGCAAGATTTCCGAGGTTCCCGCCAGCCCTGACGATTGGCCGAGCCGGCTCTGCGGGTTGGGGGAGGGGGCGGGAGGTCGGGGCGAGGGGGAGGACGGACCGTGAGCGTGTTCACTCCAGAGACCCTTCAGGGCTTTCCTTTTTTGGGCCTGTCCTTCAGCCCACGCACTACGCCCCCTGCACTGACACCTTAGGGAGACCATCACCCCATTGTCACCCCCTTTTCCATACTGAGACCAGCTGCTGTTATCTTGGGAGGTTATTTTCCCGCCAACCTAGGCCCTCGCCTTCCTCCTGTGGAGCAGTCTTGCACCTGGCCGTGAGGATCCCCTAAAACTCCTCTAGGCGCGAACTCTGATTTCAGTCAGGATGCATTTAAGGGCCTGCTTGCTCTTTTCCCAAGTTCCCCAAGAAGTCCCTCCTACTGCTGGGAGGGGGTCTGTGTTATAGAGGACCTTTGGTTATGTGTGCTTCAGGCTCAGATTTGACTTAGTCTGTCCCTGGCCTGCATGACAAGAACTGTCAAGACGAGATTTTTCCACATCTCCGAAGGTAGAGGTGTCATCTCCTGGTAGAAATAGCTTTTTTTTTTTTAATTAATTAATTAATTTTTTTTAAGATTTTATTTATTTTTTTGACAGAGAGAGAGAGATCACAAGTAGGCAGACAGGCAGGCAGAGGGAGAGGGAGAAACAGGCTCCCCTCTGAGCAGGGAGCCTGATGCGGGCTCGATCCCAGACCGTGGGATCATGACCTGAGCCAAAGGCAGACGCTTAACTGACTGAGCCACCCAGGTGCCCCTAGAAATAGCTTTGAAATGGTTTTAGATACATCCCTGAGTGCCAGATTTGTCACAGGGCATTACAGGACTAGAAGATGTTCATCCTTAATCTGTGCAGACCAGATCTTCCTCCTCCAGGCTACACCTGTACTGATCAGAGGCCAGACTCAGAGATGGAACAATTGCCCTGTGAGAGAAGAAAAGAAGGGACTTGGGGTGTCTGGGTGGCTCAGTCAGTTAAGCGTCTGCCTTCGGCTCAGGTCATGATCCCAGGGTCCTGGGATCGAGCCCCGCATCGGGCTCCCTGCTCGGCGGGAAGCCTGCTTCTCCTTCTCCCACTCCCCCTGCTTGTGTTCCCTCTCTCGCTGTGTCTCTCTCTGTCAAAAAAATAAAATCTTAAAAAAAAAAAAAGAAAGAAAGGAAGGGACAGGTGTCTGATGACCAGTACCTAGTATGTGTTGGACATTTTGCGAAGTGCTTTTTGGAGGAGGTATTGAGGGAACCTCAGTTGCACAGAATTGGGCTATCAGTCTTTGGTTCATAACACATTCTGATTATCGGCCCTCAGCTTTTATGTTTGTTTTAGTAATAACATGTGCCAAGGGCAGTAATACACACTGAGTGCTTTTCCACAACTTTAGTTCACTTCATCCTCACAACTACCCCCAAAACATGCAAGATTCAAATGGCAGGGGAGGTATTGAGTCAAGTTCTAGTTAAGTTCCATTTCCAGGAATGTTTCCATTATATCTCGGCTGTCCCCAGGGAGGCATTCTTAAATTTCTTATTTTATTACTTCTAGTAATATATGATAAATTTTCCATGTCCTGGGGCAGGATATTTTTTGAAATATTTTCTTGTTCTGACTACTCTTAAGTGCTGGCTTTCAACTTTCTCTGGCTCCATTTCCTGGCAGCTAGGACCTGGCCTCCTAGTGTGAAGGGCACCCTGGGGCTGGTAAACAAGGCACCTGGGTCACAAGGCCCTAATAGGTCAGAAGGTCACGTGCCAGTGAATGTCAGGGTGGAAGGGCCTTAGAGATACCAAAGCCAGAACAACAGAACCTTACTTCTGAGTCCTGAGTAATGGGGTGGGTTTGCTCTAGAATACTCGACAACTGAAATGGCATTCTGAGTGTGCATTGGTCTCCTGGGAAGTTTTCTGGACCACTCACTTCCTCAATTCTGGGCTGTGTTCCCAGATGCAGAAAAAAAGTTTGGTTAAGTAATTGGCTAAGCTAATATCGCTATTATGTGGTAGAGCTATGATTCGAATCCATTACACTCTGTCCATTCATGATGGTAATGCTTTGTTATTCATTTTCCATTGCCCCGGGTCTTGGTTCAAGATTCTTCCCTTGGGGGCTCTGTGGTGTCCAGTGTCCGCTGTCTTTGAAAGTCTGCCAGCAAGGGTCTGTTTGGGGGTCTGACCAGTAAGGTCTTCTGGCATCCAGAACAAGTTTCCCCCATTCTAAAAGACCCTGTAGCTGGGAATGGCTCTGGTACCTCTCTCCTGGTGGTTGACTCACCTCCTTGTGTCTAGTTGCAGGAATGGCATATGGGGACTGGCCTCCCATGAGAGGCTCAGATCCAGTCTGCAGAGGTCTCTCTTCTGGCCATCTTGGAGGCCGTTCAGATTGTGGAAATGATGGAGTTCCAGGACAGCCAACCTCAGAGCTAGGAGAGGTGGACAGAAACAGCTGAGAAGTCGCCCAACTGCGAGAAGACGGCCGTGGAGTTCGGGAACCAGCTGGAGGGCAAGTGGGCCGTGCTGGGGACCCTGCTGCAGGAGTACGGGCTGCTGCAGAGGCGGCTGGAGAAATGGGAACTTCTGGGTCCTGAGGCTGCCACTGGGCAGCAAGGGAGAAGCCCCCAAGGTACAGGAACTTGGTGGGGTGGAGAGGGCTTGCTTGGCTTCAGCAGGGTCCTCAGACTCCTAGTGGAGGGGATGTCATGTCTGCCAAAACTTGACCTCTTGGCTTTTTTTTTTTTTTGAAGATCTTATTTATTTATTTGACAGAGAGACACAGCGAGAGAGGGAACACAAGCAGGGGGAGGGGGAGAGAGAGAGAAGCAGGCTTCCCGCAGAGCAGGGAGCCCAACGCGGGGCTCCATCCCAGGACCCTGGGGTCATGACCTGAGCCGAAGGCAGTCGCTTAACCAACTGAGCCACCCAGGCGCCCCTAAATTTTATTTTTTTAAAGATTTTATTTATTTGACAGAGAGGGCAAGAGAGCACAAGCAAGGGGAACGTTAGAGGGAGAGGGAGAAGCAGGCTCCCTGCCAAGCAGGGAGCCCCATGCGGGGCTTGATACCAGGACGCTGGGATCATGACCTGAGCCGAAGGCAGACGCTTAACCATCTGAGCCACCCAGGTGCCCCATTTTTTTTTAAATATTTATTTATTTGGGGCACCTGGGTGGCTCAGTCATTTAAGCATCTGCCTTCAGCTCAGGTCATGATCTCAGGGTCCTGGGATCAAGTCGCGCATCGGGCTCCTGGCTCAGTGAGGAGCCTGTTTCTCTCTGTGCCTGCCACTTCCCCTGCTTGTGCGCTCTCTCTCTCTCTCTCTAACAAATACATAAATAAAATCTTTAAGAAAAAGATTTATTTCTTTCAGAGAGAAAGAACATGGGGGTAGGTGGGGCAGAGGGAGAGAGAATCTCCAAGCAGACTCTGTGATGCCTTCTGGTCTGGGGCAGGGAGAGGAGATTGGAGCTGGTTTTAACTGTTCTCTGAAATGGCTGTGACTCACGTTGGTGTGGGGGGACCTATACGTCCAGGTGTCTCTGACGACAGAAGATGTGGCCATGTGACTCCGAACAGGAGTGGAGCAGCCTGGAAGACTGGCAGAAGGAGCTCTGCAAGCACATGAAGGGGAACCGTGAGAGTCTGGTCTCCCTGGTAAGAGGCTGGCTCCTGGGGGCTTCCAGGCCCAGAGTCCTTGGCTTTATTCCTTTATTGAATCAAAAGAGCCTCTTGGATTTGAGAACAGAAAGCACTTTGAGATCCTTTGATCAGCTGCCTTCAAGCAGGTAGAAGGTATCCTTAATTCCCATGTTTAGGTTTAATGAAATGAAATGAAATACAGGGAGGTTAAATGACTTGTCCAAGGTCTCATGGAGACTGACTGAATTGGCAGCCGCTCCTCACTATATTGTTCTTACCATGGTACCAGGGGCAACTCTTACACACACATCTTCTCTCACCTACCAGCCTGTTTATCTCTGGTGAGCTGAGGCCTCCCCTAATTTGTATTTGCACTTCTAGGACTCACTGAGCTGTACTCTGCACACTCTGAGTTCTCCAGAAACTGCTGAATGAAGGATATATTGTAGGCATCTTCTTAAGGGTGCCCCAGGGCCTTAAAAGGAGGTTGAGTCCTGGAACAGGAAGTTCTTCAGGCTGTGGATTAAGAGCCAGGGCGTGTGCACTTGCGTGTTTGTGTAAGACATGATTAAACAGATTTTGTAGCTGCCACACTCCTATTCCATTTCAGCTTGCACACCTGAGTTCTCCCACTGCTTTGAGGAGCTCCGCAGTCAGCTTTTTGTCCACATTCCCCAGTTGGGAGGCTGAGGCCCAGAGCAAGGTGCCTTCCTTCCTTTTGCCTGGCCACCAATTTTTCTCTTGCAGAAGATGGTCCCGGGGTGCTGCGAGGCCACGGGGTGAGGGAGGATGCCAGGCTCCGGGGAAGCAGTGGGGCACGTGGAAGGGAGGGCCGCGGGAGCCCTGCGCTGCAGGATGCACAAACTGACAACCGACCTCCATGCGTGAAAACCTCCTTCTCCCGGGCCTCAGCTTCCCCATCTGTCAAATTAGGTGGCTGGACTAGGTGACTTTGGGTTCTTCCTGCCTTTCTTGGATTCCACTTTGTCCCCTGTGGGAGCAGCAGGATGGACGTCTTCCTCCTGGCCTGGTCACCCGCACTGCCTGCCTGGGGAGCACGGGGGGGCTCTGCTTCACCCCAAACTCAGTGCTGTCCTCCACACATCTTGAAGGGGGGTGGATCCTACTCTAAACGCCTGGCAGGCACCCTTTCCCTTCAAGGCCTGCAGAGCCGAGCCCCATCACTGCCTTTAGGGCAGACCAGGCCCATTTCCTCCCTTGTAGACTGCGCCACCACCGGGCGAGCTCCAGACCCCAGTGGAGAGGGGAGGCAAGGCAGGCGGCAGGGCAGGGTGAGAGCCCCCAGAGCCTGTCCCCTCGAGATGAGTGCAGGCCCAGCCTTCCACCTTCACCTGGCAAGGGCATTCTGGTTTCAGGAGTCCCCCCATTTGGAGAAACAGGCAGAGAAGGGGGCAGTGAGCTGCCGTTTGGGCCAGACCCAGTGCCCCGGCGCCCCACCCCCCACCCCGCCCGGCCCTGTGGAGAATTAGATGAATGATGAACAGTAGCTCAGTTGTCTTTCTCAGATGGTAGCAGTGTCTTCAACATGCAGTTTTCAAAGCCTTTTTTTTTTTTTTTTTTTTTTTTTTAGGCGAGGAACCCTTTATTTGAATGACAGCTGGAAATCTATAACACAGGGCAAAGCAGGACCACTCTGGTGGAAGCAAGGGACATGTTCTCTCAGAACACAGGTCCTGCCAAGACACCTGTTCCTTGCTTTCTAGACTCAGACATTTTATTTGGGGAGAAAGGCTTACTTTTGGAGCAAGTTCTTTGGGTGTGTGAATGCAGTCACGTTGACCTCAGAGCTGAAAGAAGGTGGGTGTTGATCAGGTGCTGAATGACGCACGGAAGACAACCAAGGCCAGGCCTAGTATAGGGGCCCCGGGCAGCAGGCTGAGGCAGCGAGCGGGAGGCTGTGGCACCGTGAGTGCTCGAAGGGCAGGAGCCCAGGCAGCTGTTGCAGGGTCCCTGTGGCCACCAGGCTGGGCCCCTGCGGCAGGGGTGGCAGGACTGGGCTGTTCCTTGCCCAGGGCAGGCACCACAGTTCTGGGCCGACGTGCCCCCAGGCCAGAGGCCCCCAACCCCAGCTCAGCTTTGCCGGGAAGCTGGGGTTTCCTCCTGAACTGGGCTCAGGCGAGCACTGGGAGGTGGGGGAATGAGGTCCTTAGAGGACTTGGGGTCTGTCCTGTGGCCTGAAACATCCCTGCTGTTTTCACGGTTACTTTCTTGCCTTGCACCCTCTCTGTAAGCTTTTCCAGACTCAGCAGGAGAGAGCTCTGTCCCCAGGACAGGCTTTACTCCAGGAGCTGTCTCTGCGCCCTCTGCTGCAAACACAGAGGCCCCCAGAGACTGCTTTATTTACTGGATGCTTCCACAGGCAGGCTCCTCCTCCTGGGGTCCTAGGGAAAGTGTAGATGTGGGTTCTCCTTCAGTAGGTCTGGGTGGGGTCTGGGTTTCAATCTGGATGTTCCCCTGGTGTTCCTCAGGGGACGCTGGGCAGGTCCACATTTGAGAACCAAGGTTGGCAATGTCTCTGAATAGAGACTAACCAGCCTCTACCCTCTGAAAGGGTTTGCATTTTTACTCTGCAAGTATATTCTTACAAGAGTACATTCACGCCATGAAATGTAGAAGGTATAGATGAAGCTGAAGGCTTCTCTCTGTAGGCCACCCTCCCGAGGGTCCCCACGTTGTCACTGTGGCATGCGACATTTCAGGCTCCTCTCATGCATTTTCATACACGTGGGAACTGGAAAAATACAGGGTTGCAAGGACATGAATGCCATAGTGCACGTTATCATCCTGCAGCTTGTTGTTTGCACCTGACAATAAGTCTTAAGAACCTTTAGGTAAAGGTTCAGCACATTTTGATCTACTTCCCTCTCCGGGAGGCTGGGCTGACTACAGGATAGGAACTTGGTGTCCAGGACCCGGGTTCATCATGGAGCCAGCCTGGTGTGTGGGAACCAGGCACAGGGGGCTGGGCAGGCTGTCTCCCCAGCATGACCGTGATACAGGTGCCTCCAGGCACCACAGAAAGGGACATGCTAAGCCCTCATCATCCTAGGGACAGAATCTGGCTCAGTGCTGCACAATGTGGGTAGCCCTTAGATATTAGTGGCCTGGAATGTTCTCCATTCATTCATTGATTTAACAAGAATTGTGCCTACCCTAATGGCTGAGGCAGGAAGGAGGAGCAGTGATCATTCCCTATTCTTAAGAGGGCTCTTAGAGATTGGTGCCTTTGGGGAGGTCACTTAGCCCTTGAAGGACACTGACTCATGTTCCCTATGTTATGTAGGATATGTGATTGGCTGCCAGAACAGGACTGAGAAAACACAAAACGAAGTAATGAGGGCACCAGGGTGGCTCAATCAGTTAAGCGTCTGCCTTCGGCTCAGGTCATGATCCCGCGGTCCTGGGATCGAGCCCCGCATTGGGCTCCTTGCTCAGCGGGAAGCCTGCTTCTCCCTCTTCTTCTGCCCCTCCCCCTGCTTGTGCTCTCTTTCTCTCTGTTCTCTGTCAAATAAACAAAATCTTAAAAAAAACCCAAACAAAATGAAGTAATGAACTAGTAGCTTCAACATGATAGTGGTGAGTGCTTGCTCTCCCCTGACAGGCTCTTGGTGGCACAGACCCAGGCTCCTTCCAGCTTGTTGCTCTACCCTTCCCAGGATGGGGCCTTGTCGCCATGGTTCTAGACGGCTTGCTACCATCTGTCAGAGCAAGGCAAGGAGGGGCGCGGTGCTCTTTCCCTTTAGGGACAGCACGTGTGTTTACTTCTTATTTAATTAAGGCATATTTAGTAATTATGGTTTTTTATCAGTATTGACCCACTGAAACCTCATTACAACCTTTTGTTTACTCCTGTTATGGATCAAGAGACCGAGGTGCAGAGCGGCTGAATAAATTGTCCCATTTAACGCAGCCCTAGGAGGCAGAGCCTCTCACACCCCGTTGAAGAGAACCAGCCACACAACCACATCTGCTTGCAGGGGAGGCCTGGAAACACGGTCCTGTTTAGGTGGCCTCATGTTCAGCAAAAAAACCCCAAATGTTTTGTGACTTGAAGGCAGTCCGTGGTGCTGGAGGACAGCCTGACAGCCTCTGTCCTAGCTCACGGCCTGTCACCTGTGGGCCGAGCTCCCCCGGCTCTCCCACAACCTGCCAGGGCTCTTCCCACCGCGACACCTGTCTCTGACCTCGCACAGGCGCACCTGGGAGATGTTGCGGGTTCGGTTCCGACCCCCGCGGGGCAGCTAATAGTGCAGGAAAGCGGGTCCCGGGAATGTTTTGGTTTCCCAGTGCGGGGGGTCTGCGGGCTGTGCGGTGACATTGCGTCCGCCACGACCACGAGCAGAACTTCACGGGAAGAGCCCCCCCTGCGGACGGGCCACCCGCCCCCGGAGCTCTCAGCGGGGCCGTCTTCCTGCCGGTGGAGGGTGGGGGCGGCGCTGGCGGCCCCTGAGCCCCCCCCCCCCGTCCCCCCGGGTGCTGGGCGCGGCCGCGCGGGTTCCCCGGACACCCGTGCAGTTCCCCGCACCGACGGCTCGCCCTCCGCGGCGGGCGCCTTTCCCCCCCAGGACAGCTGCCTTCGGAAGGGGGGTCGGTGCTCTCGGGCCCCGCCGCCGCCGCATCAGCCGAGCTGCTGTCACGCGCCGGGTCCTTCGTCCCCCCGGACAGGGAGGGGACTCGGGAACCCCCGTGCTCGGCCGGTCCCGTTTGCTCCCGAGCGTGCGGCCCGTCGGTCCCCGCTTCAGGCCGCGCTCCTCGTCCCGTTCTCTTGCTGTTTCCACTTCCTCCACGGACATCCTGAACCTTCAATTTGTAAAAAAAAAAAAACACAATCTGGGAATCACAATAAAGCAAAGTGCAATAAAATGAGATGTGCCTATAGAGAAAATTAAAAAATATGATGAATACAGGCTCTCCCAGAGTCCGGAGCTTCTAGCAGCCTTGGTCCCCACCGCCCGAGTCCTCTGGGACCCCGTGAGAACAGCCAAGGAAGCCAAGCACAGTGGCGAAGCATGGCATCTGTGTTGGGTAGGAGGGTGAAAAGCGGGGAAGAGCTGAACAGCTGCGGGGAAAGGGAAGGAGAAGGGCAGAGGGCGGTGTGCGGATGTGCTGGAGGGGGGAAGTTAGAGATTACCCTGAGGATGGGACACTTGTGGAGGTGGGGCAGTTTCCAATGATAACCAGGTTCCAGCGGTGTGCTCTGTCCAAAGAGGAGTCGAGGTCAAGGCACTGAGGGACCAGGGACGGGGGAGGCTCATCAGCATGGACGCAGAGATCTCCAGGCACAGGCAGAGCATGGAGGAGCAGAGGCCTAAGCTGGCAGGGCTGGGGGGGAAGCATCCTGGAGGCCGGCACAGCTGCGGCCGTGAGGCCGGGAGGCAGGTTGCACAAGGGGGGTGCTCCTCCGTGTTTAAAGACAGCGGGACGGCCAGAAGGAAAACCCCAGGTGGGGGTCGTGTCCTGGGAGTGAGAGGGATGTGCAGACTGACACGTAGCTTGACACGCAGTCAGAGGAGAGGGCTGTTGATGGTAGCTGCTCAGCGCACTCCCAAGAAACTCGGGGAGATGGGAAGGAGGGAGAGGGGACTGGATCACAGAACGGCCACTGACTCCAGGGGCTTGGATGAATCAGTTGTGCATTGTTCAGTTTCGCCGGACAAGAAGACGAGTGGTCCAGGAGCAGCGAACACCCCTGCCAAGTGTGAAAGCGAATGATCTCTGCTGGGGGAGAGCGAGGGGGTGTCGCCTCCGGAGGGCTGTTGGAGGCCACAGAGCTTTGGGAAGGGAGTGTAAGGTGGGACAGGGATGAAACAGACGGTGTGTCCAAGCTGGGGCCCGGAATCTCGCACCCCTCAGCCACTAGTCCGTTAAAATACTGTCACCACTCCAGGCAACCTGTGACCTGCTGTCTGTGTTCGCAGACTAGGTTTCATTTTCTAGAATTATATATAAATGGAATCAGAGCATATGTACTCCCCCCCGCCCGCCTTTTTGTTTGTTTGGTTTTGGTCTGGCTTCATTTACTCAAGATAATTATTTGAGATCTGTCCCTACGGTTCTGAGTATTAATAGCTCCTTTGTTTTTATCCATAAGAAGTATTCCATCCGAGGCCCGCACCGCCCTTTATCCTTGCACCTGTTGATAAATGCTTGAGTTGTTCTCAGTTTTTGGCTTTAGAATTAAGTTGCTGAGAACCTTCATGCACTAGCGCATGGCTGAGTGCCTTCATTTCTCTCAGGGAAGTCCTTGGGAGTATAATATCTCGGTCATATGGAAGGTGTATGCCTCGCCTTTTTTTTTTTTTTTTTTTAAGATTTTTTATTTATTTATCTGAGAGAGAGAATGGGAGACAGAGAGCATGAGAGGGGGAGGATCAGAGGGAGAAGCAGACTCCCTGCCGAGCAGGGAGCCCGATGCGGGACTCGATCCCGGGACTCCAGGATCATGACCTGAGCCGAAGGCAGTCGCTTAACCAACTGAGCCACCCAGGCGCCCCTATGCCTCGCCTTTTAAGGAGCTGCCAAACGATTCCCCACGGTGGCCGCAGCTGCTCCACACCCTGCCCAACACTGCTCACCGTCCGTCTTGTGGACTTACGTTCTAGCACAACGTAGTCTCTCATCGTGGTTTTAATGTTTATTTCCCTCATCACTGCCGATGTCGAGGGTATTTTTATGTGCTTGTCGCCATCGTATGCTTTCTTTGGTGAAGTATCTTCTCGGATCCTCTGTCCATTTTTTTCATTTGGCTTGTTCGTTTTCTTAGGGTTGAGTCTTGAAGGTTCTGCCTGTTGGTGCAA